CATATCCTTCCTTGCACCTGCACTCGTATCCTCCATCAAGGGAATCCCAGTTAGTGCAAAGAGTATTCTTTCCACATGAAGTTTTGGTGCAATTCGAATCAGGACCAATTCTCCAATCTAGCACCAATGGTTTATCTATAAACTCTTTATTATTCTTCAGGAATGCTTTTGGATCATTGAGATCGGATAAGTTAAAGGTAAAATTACCAATATCGTCGATCATTCCAATGAAGGCAAAACTACACCGGAGATCTTTCCTCTCTTTCCCCCAATTAGTATGCATGTCGTCCAGTTTAACAGAGAGAACGGTAGATTTGGATATGGAGGTTTGGCAACAGCCCATGCCGGGGCATTTTCCGACGGAATCACTTGGATAGTCTGGACAGTACGGCAGACATCCAATACCGCTTAAGTTGTTTGAAAGCTGTTGTAACAAAGCCAGGTCATCACAACCAACTGCTGTTAGCTTATTTTCATCTGACAAGATATAAGGAGTATCAAACAAATCGAGGTATATAGAATTATTCATTGTATTGTAATTGGACCCCATGCCATAACATTTATTTGCCAGCTGTATCTCCGNGAGTTTGATGGTTGTGCCACCGCCAGTGAAAGCAAGAAGAACATATGGAGCAAAGCACAACGCGTAGCCATGTTTTGCTTTGGAATTTGCATGTTCAGAATGATTGAGTTAATGTGTATTTATAGACCAAAAAAAAAAATATTCTCTATTGGTTTCACATTAAGATGTCACCCTAAAAAAAAAACATTGGTGTGTTTTATTTTAATTTAAAGTTATCATTTTACCCCTTTTAAAATTGGTCCAAGCATATTTTTGAGCTAACTAGCGATCAAATTAATAGTTTCCATCCATTTGGATTCCAGGTGTGAGTTTTTCGAATGATCTTTATTGTGGGTAGCACAAATAAAATGTTTGAATCAAGTTTGCAATAAAATAAAATATTCGGTACTGCAACTACAACTCTTCCTATATTTAATGACCAATTCGTTGCACAAGAACCGACCAGATAATAATTATACTTTTTGTAAAGAGAATCAATTGATTGAGATCAACAAAATAACTAATCAAGTTTTTATCCTGACTTCAAATGTAAAAGGAGACCGAATGATATTCTTGATTTCAACTTTCATATTAACTTTTAATTAAAACTGCACGTACAATTTTAACAGTCAATCTAGTTCCAAGCTCCCTAATATGAAAGCAAAACCAGAAAACAAACTATTAACGGAAAGCCTTTTTCATGAAAAATCATCTCTCTCTCTCTCTCTCTAATTGACCCCTTGGTCACTGTCATTATCCACATATGTCGGTGATCATTTGAATTATTAGGCGTGTAAAATGACATAATTATCCCTTCATATTTTTATACTCACACAAAAATGAAGGATAAAAATGGTAATTGATAAAATACATCACATAACCTTAGTCAAATGTTGCGGGCGCCTCCATGTTTTTGGCAGAAAGTGGGCCCATTTCAACAGTAAAAAATTAATTCTTTTGGCCAAAAATCGCTATCAAACAGGATGTAAATTTGACTTTTGAGTACAAGCACAATTAGGAACCGTACAAGTGCACATATAAGTTTTGGGACAAACCTCAACGTCAAGGGCCAAACAAGGTACCACACAATTTAGGATCGCCACTTGCAACCGTAAAATTGTTAATAATTTTTTGCAAAATATAACATATATTTAAGAGTACAAAACAGAAATGAATATGCAAAGGAAAAAGAGTTGATGAGTAAATTCGATAACAAAATAGTATAAAAAATTTACTGAAATCGATATGTTTGTTATAGGAACCAGTGTTAAATCAACAAATCCGATCCAATCTGATTCAATTCAGTTAGTTCGGTTGTTGGGAAAAAACCCACCTCTACCATGAGGTCTCACAATATATTTGTATTCCTATCAAGTCAATGCAGTCAATATTTCTAAAGTTTTAAGAATTCGACTTTAAATAAACAGCTACATGATTGTTGAAGAGTTTTCTTTATAAAGAAACTACCTATTTTCATGGAAAAATTTTAACCTAAATATTTAAGATGTCAATGAATAAAGATATTTAACAATATTTAAGATGTCAAAGAATAAAGATGTTTAACACGATTTCTCACGTCCAGATTCAATTTATTTATTTATTTATTAAATGCATCTCAAGTAATTTATTTATAAATAAATGGAAATGAATCTGAGCTAAGATAATTTATCTACTCTCTTATTATATTGAATGGCTTCATCAATATTAAAGGAGTTAAAAAATAAATATAGATAAGTTCATATCTTTTATTCAACAATTTATAACACATTTTTCACGCAACCAATGACTTTGTAGGTATGTACATATACTTCATGTCGGCAAGAATGATGTTTATCTTGGTCTTCCCCCCAAGTCAATCCATTTTGTCAAAAACATCGTGAATATCATTTTGCAAAAGAATTTTTAGGTTGTTTAGGAACTTTCCTTAAAACTTTCTAGTGCTTGTAATAATGCCAATTGATTGTTATATGTATATTAACCTCTAATTGTCATTTCGATGACCCATTAAACTATTTATTTAAATTTAAGTTATTAGAGGGAATCATATTTATTTATTTAAATGTAGTTTTAACATGCATCTCACGTCCATTCGGATTCTTTTATTTTTCTCAAATGCCTAACACAAAGATGATTTTTATTTATGATAAAGGATAATAATATTTTATCTGAAAATTTAAGTTTTAAATGAACCACTCCAGCATACATAAATAGTAAATACACAAGTTATTTAAGTAGCATCTATTTTTTATTTGACCTCAATTCACGACAAAGAACATTTGAAGCATTACCACACTTAAGTAATTTTTGTTATTTTATAAGTACCTTCTAGGGTTAAAAAAGAAAAAAATTGGTTGTCCTTCAACTTATATCATTGTTTCACTTTATTATTGAAAATTATTTTGTTAGCAATTAGTCTTTTATCTTTCATTTTGTTTCAGTTTAAGCTATGCCTGTCTCAATTTGCTAACTTACCAAAAATTAATGCTGATGTCGCTAATGAAAAATATTTATGGAGCATGAAAAATCTATTAGTGCATTGGTTTTATCCATAAAGTTTTTTTCTTTTCCTTTTATATTATATTTGCTATTTCTTTTGAAAAATGAAATTAAAATTGCTAACGATCAAACGCCACCTATATATTCTGCGCTATTTGTCATTTTAATTTTTGAAATAGTATTTTTTTTGTTTTTTTTAAGAATGTAGGTTAAACATAAGTCATTA